GTGTTACACGACCAGCACTGTTCCTCAGCTGCTGGTTCATCTCAGGGCAGCAGACAAGTCTATCTCTTTCGGTGGTTGTGTAGCTCAGATGTTCGTCTCTCTAGGGTTGGCATCTACAGAATGCATTCTGTTAGGGGTGATGGCATTTGACCGCTACGCAGCTGTCTGCAGGCCCCTGCACTACACAGTGATCATGCACCCCCGTCTGTGCGCCCTGATGGCTTCTGCATCGTGGTTCCTTGGTTTTGTCAACTCCTCATTGCACACAGTGCTCACCTTCCTTGTACCACTCTGTGGGAGAAATAAAATAGACCACTTCTTTTGTGAGGTCCCCCCACTGCTCAAGCTTGCCTGTGTCGACACCACTGTGAATGAGTCTGAGCTCTTTGTCAGCGTGATCATTCTCCTCATACCTGTGGCATTAATCACATTCTCCTATGGTCGGATTGTCAAGACAGTGTTAAGAATAAAGTCAGCTTCAGGGAAGAGGAAAGCTTTTGGGACATGTGGGTCCCACTTCACAGTGGTCTCCCTGTTCTATGGCACAGGCATCTACATTTACCTCCAGCCCAGCAACAACTACTCCCAGGATCAGGGCAAGTTCGTTTCTCTCTTCTACACCATCGTCACCCCCATGGTCAACCCCTTTATATATACCCTTCGGAACAAGGATGTGACTGGAGCAATGAAGAAGGTGCTTTGTAGGGGCTATGACTCCAGATGACTCGGTACAGAAGTCCCTGTGATGGAATACTTTGAATGTCAGAGCCCTTAAGATTATGTGTCTGCACGTGTCATCCAATGTTTCCGCTGATGACTCTCATGAGAATTACCTTACTTCATTGTTTTAAGCAACGAGTGTTCAAACTCTGAATTCATGGATTCAACAGTGCAAGAGAGTTCCCATTTCTAAATATCCTTGACCTCACCTGTTGTTTCTGGTGTTGTTGATTTTAGCTATTCTCACATAGATGAAGTGACATATCATTGCATTTTTGGTTTGTATTTACGTGATGATCAGTGATGTTGAGCATGTTTTGACAATGTTTTTTTTTTTTTTGTCATCATGTTGTCTTCTTTGGAGAATGTCTATTCATGTATTCTGGCCATTTTTAATTGGATCATTTGTATTTTGGGCATTGTATGTATAAGACCTTTATAAATTACGATATAAACCCTTTATTGGTTATGTCATTTGTCAATATATTCTCCCATTCAGTAGTTTTCTTTTAACTTTGAAACACAAGTAAATTTGAAATATTTTTCAAATGATTTTATTCTAGTTTTTTTAATTAAGTGTTTTTACTTATTCATCTTTATCATAAATATTATTTCTTTTTAAAATAAATGTATTTATTTCAATTCAAGTTAGTTAACAGATAGTGTTGTATTGGTTTCAGGAGTAAAACCCAGTGATTCATCACTTACATATGAAGCCATGTACTCTTCCCAAGAAGTGCCCTCCTAATACCCATCATACATTTCGCCCATGCCCCCACTCCTCTCTCCTCCAGCAACCCTCAGTTTGTTGTTTGTATGTAAGAGTCTCCTATCATTTGCCTCCTTCTGTGTTTCTTTTTTTTTCCTTCCCTTCTCCTCAGTTAATCCGTTACATGTCTTAAATTCCACATTTAAGTGAAATCATATTTGTCTTTCTCTGATCGATTTATTTCACTCAGCAAAATACAGTCTAATTCTATCTATGTCG